TGCAGCAAGGTGTCTCCTGACCGGCCGAAGTGTTTGCCGCTGACGGTCTGAGCCGCCGCCGAGCCGCATGACGTTATCTGTTCCTCCAGAGAGCTCAACTGTCCGTCCTGAGTGAGCTTCACCAGCAGTTTTAAATGGCTGTCGTCCATGCCGGGTGGAGGTTAAAAGCTGCTTCTGGAGCACAGAGTGACAGAGTAACCGGCCACAGTTAGAGAAAATAGTTAATCTGAACTGCATGAAGACATGCTGCTGGAAACAAGTGCTTACCGATTTGTTTTTCGTTTTTTTTCCGTGGAGTTGCAAAAAATTAAATGGCCAACCATGACCTTACCCTGTACTATCTTCACATATAAAAGCAATACAAGAATGCATAACACAAACATAAATATTCATTAATTCTTCAATCATTACTTTTGTAACATGACAAATATATTGTGTTATTAATACCGGAATAACAAAATGTTTGTAAATTCAAAATAAATACAGTTTCGTTGGATTAAATGTTTCTATCTTGATGGAAAAAGCTTAATAACCATGATAAATGTTAATGAATTATTGTATATTGCACATTTACATGTATATTATAAGGACAGAACATATGAAGTATAAAAAGTAATTTATTGAGGCATATAACTTATTCATATACAGACTCAAAGGGAAAAAAAACATTATGCAATCATAACAATATGAAGAACAAGGTGAAGAACCCTTTGACTACATGGGTATCTAGCTTATATGTAAACATGATTAGATAACTGTGATATAATATGATAATAAACTTTTTTTTCAAATATAAAACACATTTCAAACAAAATACCATGTTACTCAAGTCAAGCTTTACGTGTAACAAATAATTGATTAGATAAATGTTTTGAAAAATTCAATCATTATTAATTATCAGCAAATAATTAATGAATTACAGGATCAATATCAGAAATATTCACAAAGACCAAACTAATATAACTTAATCCGAGAAATGTGACGAACCAAACTTGAACTAGGGATAAACTTTAGTTGTCCTTTGCAGCAAGAGTGACACCGTTGGCATTATGGGAAATGTCGTTTTTGTGGTAACGTGTGCTTTGGTTGCCAAAAATGTTTTTGATCAGTTATTTGCCACAGGATGTGTTCTTAATAGTAATTTACCTCGTATTAACATAATAAATAGGCGCTTTAAGTAGATGTCAGCCCGCTGTTATGGTTGAAATAGGGCAGCATCGGTGTAATTTTTAGTGATGACCATCATAGATTCTTTTTTGTTGCAAGTCACAAACAAGGAGCAAATCTGTTTTCACAGCAGAAATTAATCTCTCAGTGTCACTGCTATTATTCTGTGAAGTGGGGCGAGCTAATACAGTTTCTGGCTAAATGTCAGAGCGCTGGTGAACAGGATGAGTCACATCTGGAGGGAAGACGGAGAAAAAAAAGGTGCATGGGAGAGAAGAAAAGTGGGGCTGCGGGTGAGGGTGAGTCTCAGTCCTCAGAGATTTTACAACATGGACCATGAACACTAGGAATGAGACTGACCATAACCACCACCCTCTTTTTCTGGTGAGTACATTTCAGACACTTTTAATGTGTTTTAAATGGTGCTACATGACAGTCACAAGTCACACACTCTTCCTCCCATGTCTCTGTCTCCTAAAACGCACATTTACTTGTTTTGCAGTTATATGTCTATTGTGTGCTGTGAAATATGTTTCTTGTATTTTGTGTTTACATTATGTAGCCCTGATGTACTGTAAAAAAAAAGAAAAGAACTTTTTGTCCTGCTACACTGAAAAAAATATCCATCTTTAAAAGTTAGTCTATTTACCTTTTAACTTTTTGGAAACTCAGCAAATGTATGATGCATGACACAGTTTCACTCATTTTCATCACAATTTCATATTGTTCTGGAGATGAGTGCTAGGTTTTTGTTAAACACTGCAGCCCACGAGGGGAGTGATCTGCCTGCTCTTACCTTGTTTCAGACTTTGGGAGATTTTCTTCTATAGTTTTTCTGTGTTGAACTACTTTATCGAAGTTAGTATTTTTTGCAGTGTGATGACTTATGTGGTCTGGTTTGGACCCCCATCCCCCATCCCCCATCCCACACACTCACATGCACAAACACACACACACACACACACACACACACACACACACGCACACACAGCTATGTTTCCATCACTTCAGTGAACATTGCATGACTTACATTGACTTACATTCATTTCCTGGAAAGTTACCCTAACCCTAATCACTGCTTGCCTAATTCTAACCTTAACATTAACTTAAACCTTAAACCTTGAACGTATCCCAACTTTAAACAAAGTCTTCATGATTGACATTATGGGAACTTTCTTTTTGTCCCCAGAAGAACATCGAGTCCCTGCAGTGTGACTGTGTGAACAGATTTATGAGCACTACAAACTCAGACACACAATTATTTGCCAACTTTTAGGAACTTCTTTTGAAGAGCAAAAAACTAGTTTTCTACCTAGCAGCTGGTTGCTACATAATAAAAAATGATTCAAAGTAGCGTTGTTCCTCAAGGATGTCCTGAGAAAGCCATTTACTTAAAGTAATGTAAAACACAGTGAAGACTTTCTGTTCTGGTAACTTTTATTTGACAAATTAAAAAAAAAAGATACCGAAATTTCATAAAATAATGTGAGAGTTCATATTCAGTGGGGAAAATCTGCAAAGCACTGATAATGCACATTAGGATTGGTGCTCATATTACATATGAAGTAAGCTGATAGTAATTTGTCCTGACAGGATTATCGATTGTTCGAATGCAGGCCACAGACAGCATGTTAGGCAGCTCTGCCTTCTGCGAGGGGTGTATCTGAAGCTAATCAGCTCCAGATGGTTTCAGCTAGTTTTACTCTAAACAGGGACAAACAAGTAAACTGCTGCAGTTCAGTTTAGCCTGCAGGTTCGTGAGGAAAAGCAGAAAAAGGAAAACAAACAGAGTAGGTGTCGCACTCATTGATCCGATTAAATTAATGTTGGTCACAATGAGGCGATAAGTTGTTTAGAGTTTGCGACGGTTGGGATGTACAGTATGTTGGGTCATTTTATTGTGCAAGCATTTCTATCAGTGTAGTTATATGAAAGTTTAAAAAGCTGGCAGGCGAGTAGATTCGTGAATAAAGCCCTGGCATCAGGAAGGAAGGAAGTGGTGGAAGGTTTCGGACAAAATGCAGCCATGTGTGTTTTCCAGTGTCTCCTGGCCTTGGGGCTCAGTGACTTTACTGCAGGTCAGGTCACGCTGGCAGTTTGTCACAGTCATACAATGTATGTCTAGTCCAACTTATGTCTTTCAGTGTTTGTTGCTTCGGAGGCATCCCAGCCAACCCCTCCTCAGGATACACTCAGCAAGCACTTCATTAGGAACACCTGTACACCTGTTTATTCATGCAATTATAGAATCAGCCAGTCACGTGGCAGCAAGGCAATGTATAAAATCCTGCAGACACAGCTTCAGTTAATGTTCACATCAGACATCAGAATGAGGGAAAAATGTGATCTCAGTGACTTTGACTGTGGCTGGTTTGAGTGTTTCTGAAGCTGCTGATCTCCTGGATCCTGGATTTTCTAAAGATTTTACTCAGAATGGAGCCAAAAACAAAACCATCCAGTGAGCAGCAGCTCTGTGTTGATGAGAGAGGTCAGAGGTCAGAGGAGAATGGACAGACTAGTTCAAGCAGCCAGAAGAGCTATGGTCACTCAGATAACCACTCTTAACAACAACGATAAATCTGGCATTGATTTGATTTTTAGTATTTACAAGCCTCTTCTCTGCACTTCAGTGTCAGTGTGGCAATAAATCTTTCTTTTTTATATAATTCTTCTCACAAATCAGCAGCTGAATGTTTTGCAGATTCCATTTCAGCCAATTTCCTATTGTTTCATCCCTATTTACATATTTATACATTAGTAATAAATGTAATGAGTTGTTAATGTTAATGTTAATTATTCCTGGAAGATAGTTTAAGATTAAACATAAATATAAACATAAATTATAAATATATATTTGGTCTTGAAAAATGACATCCCACTGATAATTTACAAAATGGCGGCTATAGGGTCAGTCTTTATCTCTGTTTGGCTATTCCAACTCTTGGTATACATGTGATCTATCATGTGATCCCCTGGGTTGCTCTTAAAGAAGGAAATTACTTGATAAATTCTAATTCATCACATTCAGCCAAACTTCTTTACTCTTAAAGGTCCATATAGTACAAAAGTAGATGTCCATGTGTTGTTTGATTTTAAAGCAGGTCTAGGTTCTATATTTATACTGTGAAAGTATCAAAGTGCTCTGTCCACACAGAAATGCACACAGCCTGTATTCAGAAACTGAGCCTTAAAACCAGCCGTCAGGACTTCTTTAACTTTGTGATGTCATAACAAAGCAGTCACTGCCCTCAGCCACGCCCAAGCCCCGCCCACCTGGACCCATGATACAACCTTGCAGGATTTGGTTTCTCTGAGTGTTTACCTGAAATCTGCTATACTTTTATTCAACCACTCATAAAACAGTCAGCCAATCAAAAGAGAGGCTCAGAGCCTTCTCTTTTCTGATTGGATCACTGACCTGTTGTTACTAGAGCTCCATAGAGAAGCCTGAGAGAGGAGACGTAAAACTACATTGAGATGGTTTTTGGTTCTTAAAACCACAAATATATCTTCTTATGATCAGCACTGCAAATAAAACACAGGAGAAAAGGAAAATATGGAGCTTTAAGTTGCTACTTTCGAGATTTCTGTGTGTGATTCTTAGAAGTTTAGGAAAATGTCATCTTTTTAAGTCACTTTCAGCTGTGTTGGCAGGTTAATACTCCACTGAGGGAACGGCCAAATCCTTCATTGCTGCGTACATTATTATTAAGGCCAAGAAATATTTCATCTTTTGTTTCTCTGAAAGTGAACTTCTCTTCAGTGACCTAATATCTCTCCATTTCTCTTTCTCTGTTTATGTTTGCAGATGTTGCTGGAACCAAACATGAAATATGGCTCTCCTGAGAAAAAGTAAGTCAAAATAATGCATGATATAAATGTAATATGGCTGATTTATGGTCTCAGGTGAAAAAAAAATTTAAATGAGAAAAAAAAAGGAAAGTGTTCATGCCTGTCTCCTCTTCCTGTAGCTGTGCAGTAACAGACAGACTCGAATGTTTGCTTGTAGTTTAAAAGTCATATGGACTATAGTGTGAGTTTAGTTTTGTGTTAAAATTGAGGTTTAGTTGGTGTAGCCATAGCCAGTGTAGGACCCCCTAATTTCTCTGTAGTGAAAGTAACAGGAAAGCATCTTAGCTTGCATGCATGTGCACTAAATGTGTATGGTTGTTGGGGGAGGGTTTAATTAGGTAACCAGATGACAGGGTGTAAGGAGTTAAATTTTATGACTCCATGCAGTGTGTGAACAGCAGTTTGGACTCAATGCTAAATGCTTGCAGCCGTTTGCCTCCAAAATGAAACTTTACCAACAAAAAAAGATTTTATGTTTTAAATTTGTGATAATTAACAACATTTATTTGCATGGTTTAATTTCACCCGACGGTACTTGATCCTTGAGAAAATCTGCCATATTTTGGCTGGTGAAACATTTATGCTAGAAAAATTAAAAAAAAATTGGGCAGAAAGTTCAGTTTTTAAAAATCAGATACTAAAACGTCAGAAAAACTACATCTGTGCCGTCCTCGATCTGTGTCAGTATAAAGTATTTCAGCCTAAAACCGCTGTGCAGGTAGCATATTGTCCAGAATTATTCATGGCACCTGGATGAGCAGCTGAAAATGATAGGAGTGGCCTGTAACTGGTTTCAGATGGGTATGTGATTCTCCTCTCTCTCTAGTCTGCCTGGCAGCTGGTGGAAATTCTCCATACTCAGATTAAAACACAGCGTGTATGTCTGTGACTTTGTGAGGAAATCATTACATTAAAACGGCGGCCTGGTTTACACAGCTTGTTTAGTGCTAAAATAACCGAACAGTTCATCTACAGAAACTTAATCAGCAACAGTTTGGATAATGACTCAATTGTTTCAAGTTATAGTTTCTCATTATTTTTCTTACTGTAAAAAATATTGTGTCTGTTAAGTATGGAGCTAGCTAAAGCCTGGAGGCAATTAGCTTAGGTTTGCACTCAAAGACTGGAAGTGCACTAATTAACACATTCTGCTTCATTCGTTTAATCTGTACTTTGTTTGAAATACAATATGTTAATGAGGTGCTGGTAGGTGTATTTTTAAAACTTGGACAAACCAAGCTAGCCACTTATGATGCTAGCTAGCAATATGAAGACGTGACCTCAGGCTTTGTAACCTCACGATGGGAATTTTCATTATTATTTGACATTTTCTGGATTAAACAATTTAAAAAAGAGACTATGTGATGAAGTAAACCGTCATGATCTGTTGTACCACTGAATGTTTGAGAGGAAATTCTTTGAAAAACAAAGAGTAAAACAGCTTCTGAAATCGCTCACTACTGTCAGCGCTAATTGCACTGTGCTAATTGCACAGTGAGGACTGACTCCTGCCTCTTCCTGTGTTGCAGTTAATCATGTCCTCCTGCTGCTGCTGCTGCTGATGTTGTGCCTGCTCCTTCACAACACACTGCTCAGAGCCTCCACTCGGCCCAAACTCTCAGGTACATCCACTCGGGTTTTATCCATGTCTTTTATTTTTCATGATTGGTGTTTTATGAATTTATGGACCGTAAAAAAAAAAAAAAAAAAAAAACACCAGTCGTATCTTTCAACAAATCCTGTAGCTTGCAAATCCAGTGATTGTCACTAGCATTTTTGTTTTGTGACCTCCATTTAATTTCATTTTAATCATCATGTCAGTGTCCTCATGTAACCTGCTGTCCCCGATTCCTCTCAGATCACTGGAAGAACCTTGGCAGTGCACCTCAAGCCCCTGCAGTGAGAGTGTCAGAGGTGGATAATGTCATCCCCATCATCATCTGTGCATCCGAGGAGCGTATGGGTGGAACCATGGCGACCATCAACAGCATCCATAGCAACACAGACGCCAGTGTTTTCTTCTATATTGTCACATTTCGTGATGCCGTGAAACTGACAAGGTTTGTCACTTGGGAGCCGACATCACAGTGTTATCGCTTATCAAGTTTATTTATCTAATCCAACTCTCTTTGCCTCTTCTCAGGCAGTACATTGAGAAGACTAAACTGAGAGGCATCCGGTATAAGATCCTGGAGTTTAACCCCATGGTTCTACGAGGGAAAGTGAAGCCAGATTCCTCTCGACCGGAGCTGTTACATCCGGTGAGTTCTGGGTTTGCTTTTGTTCAAGCAGCAATACAAACGTTTGACATGAAGCTTCAGTTTCAGTTTAGGTGAACCAACTTTGCTTTTATTTTGCAGCTCAACTTTGTTCGCTTTTACATACCTCTGCTTGACATCAACCATAAGAGGGTGATATACTTGGATGATGATGTCATCGTGCAGGGTACGTATATGTGACCATCCAGGAAAGTCAATGATCCCCTCCAGGTGTGTTTTAGACATATAAAGAGACTGTTTGGAATAATAATTTGCACCTGGTAGGATTGTTCCACAGGAAACATTTCCCTTACAAAAATATTGCAGACACAAGACACTTTATTTGTCATTATAGACATACAACGAAATCATGTTTGGTAACTCTGAGACTAGGAACAGTAGAAAAGAAGATTAAATTAGTTAAATCTGAAGAGGTAGATAGATAGATAGATAGATAGATAGATAGATAGATAGATAGATAGATAGATAGATAGATAGATGGCAGGTTAACAGGGACAGTGTGAAAGTGCCTGGTTTAAGTCTAATAAACTTACTTTGTTCAGCTGAATGAGCAAAATTCAGGATTGTCTGTAACTATGCCTAATAACTGCAGATTTAGTTCCAGATGTGAAAGTAATACATGCAGAGGTTTGTAGGTCATTATGAAAACAGGACACACTACATCAGTGGTTCCCAACTTGTGAGCCGGGGCCCAATCATTTGCAAACAAGTACAATTTTGGTGAAATGATGTAATTATAAAAAAAATTTATAAAAATATAAAAGATGTCAGTATGTAACTTTTTCTGTAACTTTGATTGTTTCTCTGATAACTTATGAAGCAGACGTTCAGCAGGTTTTTACCAGCAGCTGAATTATCCACAGAGGTGTCGTCCTCTCCACAACAAACACACCAGGGGATTAAAACCAGTACAAACACCCAGAAAACAGTTTACCTTTAAAACTCAGAGATTCATGGCGCCTTGGCGGCTCAGCTGTTCACCTGGTAGAGAGCATACCACAAAGGCTTAGTCCTACCTGCAGCTGCCGGGGTTTCAGACCAGCCTGACTCTCATGTCTCTCTCATTGTAGCTATCAGAATAAAGGCGAAATGCGAAAAAAAATCAGTAATTCACCGAAGCCTGTCGGCGGACACATGATGTCCAGCATTACCTGGAAACTGAGACTGCTTACCTTTGATTCTTTAATAAATTATGAACCAGACGTTCAACTGGTTTTTCCCGGTAGCCGATTAATCCCCAGTGATCTCCTGCTCTTCATAACAAACGTACCAGGGGATTAAAACCGTTAATGAATAAAGCTGTTTCACTTTTTAAAAAAAATCAGTGATGCTCTTCAGCTGAACCAGGACAGGACGTCTCCAGCTGCTGGGAGCTGAGCTGTCTAACACTTGCCTGCCTTTTTTTTTCTCTGATAACTCAAGGTCCAATAGTCCGATGACTAAAATCCTTCATCAGGTTAAAATATAGCCTGTGGTTGAAAATGCTCAAGGTGTGAAAAGTGGATGTAGCGTAAAACTAGATAAAAGGCAATCTTGGATGTGGGCCGGATGTGGGCCGCCAACATTTTCAAGAGTTGGAAAAGGTCGGTAAACACTGACCTACATCAACTTTATGAGTAACTTCAGGAGTAAGAACTTCCACATCCATAAACATTATTATCATTCATTAAAAATAATCAGTCTAATTGCTCAGGGATGAATGTCTGTTCTCAAACTATTAGTGAATGTTGTGTAGTTTGTCAGTCATGTTAGATAATGGTGTGGTGACAGGTGGAGAGTATGTGTGTATACTTCACCTAAAGGTTGTCATGTTTTCAAGGAGACATCGAGGAGCTGTACAACATGAAACTGAAGCCAGGACACGCTGCTGCGTTCGCCACCGACTGCGACCTGCCCTCCACGCACGAGATGGTGCGCAGCATCGGCATGCAGGTGGATTTTTATTTCTTGCATCACTCTGTGTTATTATGTCAAACCTGGAAAATCAGACCTGGAGGAAACACCGGATCCTGAAGTTGAATGTGAATTGGTTTGCTTGTTGCGTTAAGCTAGTGTCAGTAGATGTGTACAGTCCATGTGCATGTGAAGTATTTTTTGATTACACTTTAAACTTTAAACTTAATCATTCAACTCTGAAGTGGATTCATGAGAAATGTATTATGAGCCGCCTTTCTCAGGTGACCTCTGATTGTAGACTCTGAAATGTGGTGTCCTGTCCTCTGAGCTCGTCCCCTAGACAACCTACATGGGCTTCCTGGACTACAGGAAACAGGAAGTTAGAGACCTGGGAATTAACCCCAGGGACTGCTCCTTCAACCCTGGAGTGTTTGTGGCAGATCTCAGCGAGTGGAAGAAACAGAAGATCACCAAACAGCTGGAGAGATGGATGGAAGAGAATTTCAGGTAAGATCTGGTTTGGAGAATTACTCCCTTAGTTGCTGGACAGTCATTTGTTTGACAAAAGACATATCAAAGGAATATAACTCTTATTCGAAAAATAAGTACAATTTCCAGAACCTATTGTGTTTTAAAATAAGAACCACTCAATAAACTGTTTGCGAGGAGCGTCTGTGATGATAAGAATGTCTCAGGACTTCCTCCATCTGGTTGTTGAAAACAATGCAAAGATGTTTAAGTAAAGTTATTATCATAACCAGCTGTTTTCCATGTCCGGCACTTTCAACTGCATTTTATGAATCGAAGCTGTTGTATAAATATCAGCTTTTATTTTTAAGAACTTACGTTTCTAAAGAAGTAGAAGCATCTGTGTGATCAGACCCCTCCTCCCCCCCCCCCACCCCCCCTCTCTCTCTCTCCACCAGGCAGAACATATACAGCAGTGCCATGGCAGGAGGTGTGGCCACTCCACCCATGCTGATAGTTTTCCACGACAAATACACAACGCTGGACCCGCTGTGGCACGTCAGACACCTCGGTGAGGACCTCACTTTTCATACACTGATGAATTTCATCGTGAGTTCCTAAATGGCACAGTGGAACCTGAGATGCAAACTAGTTAAAACGAAACAGGTGTTTCCTTTGTACATTTACTTATTATGAGAATTTGGTGCTATTTTATTGAAGGTTTTGTCAGTATATCTCTAACTCAGTGAAAACGGACCTAAACTAACTGCAGCTAAACTACTGCACACTCCCTCAAATGGGCCTCTCAATAACAAGTAAGAAAATATCCTCTAATTTTAAAATGCTATAATACTTATAAGGAATCTTAGCTTGCTTCATGCTAAACATTTTACACCAGTAAGAGTAAACTGAATGTAAATTAATGCAATATGTATTAGTGAGTGTGCACATCCATGAGAAGTGTAATAATAATTCATAATGACAGGTCATAATGCATGGCCGCATTGTTAAAAACTAAAGCTAAATAGCTGTCATTGAACATGTTTTTCATTTAATTACGACACAGCAAATGTTTACATAAGAAGTAAACATAAATAAGATTGTATTGTATTAAAATTTATTTCTGTTTGATTTGTTGTTTTCATCTTCCACACAAATCAAACAAAGTCAGTGGACTGTATTGAATCAGGCTGTTGTCTCAGACTGAATCAGTAGCTTTTAGTGGAGGAGCTCCCCTCACTGGTGACTGACTGCACTATTGTCAACTCGACGTCCTTGGTAAAACCATATGACGACAGTGAAAACCACAGGAACAATTATAATTTGATATGTCAGCCCCCAAATAATAGTCTGCAGAGTCCTTAAACTTATGCGCTGTGCCAGGATTTGGGCTGTTTTTGCATCAGCTTGGACTAACAGTCGAGTCTGCGGGGGAGAGCAATGGAAAACTGATAAATACACATTCTAGACAAGATTAACAAAAATAATAAATAGCAAAATATTACAACAGAGAAGCAGGTAATTTACCATATAAACGTGCCATAGATAGATAGATAGATAGATAGATAGATAGATACTTTATTAATGATAATATTAATCATTTATTAATCAATCAATGGCAAGCGCACTCATTATTTCTGATACACACAGACATAGAGGAAACTATAATATCGTAGCTCTTCCCTCAAGTCAATTTCAAACAGCACTCCTGTTCTCCCAGGCTGGAGTCCAGACGCCCGCTACTCAGAGAGCTTCCTCCAGGAGGCTCGGCTGCTGCACTGGAACGGACCGTTCAAACCCTGGAACTATCCTGCTGTTCACCTGGATCTGTGGGAGAGGTGGTTCATCCCGGACCCCTCCGAAAGATTCTCCTTGGTACGACCTGATAGCGAAAGCTGAGGTCAGCTGCTGTCAGCATGTAGAGCTGAAGACTTACTCAGACAGTTGGGGGGAAGGGGGGGTAATAGGAAACATACAGGGGATGTCACGCTGAGGAATGTTCTTGAGGGTGAAAGGTTGTCGGTTGAACACTGCATGAGAAGCAGTGTTGTTGGTGTCGGTGCTCTACGTGTTGCTAAATGCAAGTAAAATGTGACTTATCTGTTGTTGACAGATACCTGTAAACATATTAGAATATCAATAGTAGGAATGTGTTCAAAGTGAAAACGACAATAAAGATCTTTGTCTTTGCAAAATGTGGTAATAAGCTGCAGAAAATCTCTTTCCTTGCTAACTTGAAATACATTTTAAAAACTCTTTTTTTGTCACATTTTCTGGTCTTTATTTTCATTCATACTTCAGACATGGCATTGGAATCTTGGGGTAAACAGAATATGTTACTGATACATCACTATAATGACTAACTACAGGCTCCTGGACATTGTTGTGCCAGGAATTAAATAAGATTACAGCATTTTGCCTTCCTACTTTTTAGATGTCAAAGTTAAAAACCTGCGTTTAACTGATATTTTTCTGCTCTCTGGATGGCAGCGTTTGGTCACAACTTTGGTCTCGGTCTATTGCAGAGACATTTTCTACAGACGTTCACGGTGCCAAGAGAAGGAGTCTTGAAGTGATAGTTCAGGTTATTTCACGCAGAGTCAGAGTGTTACCTGCGGTGGATTCAGATCAGTGCGCTGCCAGGTAGGAGAAGCAGCAGGAGCACCGGAACACCAGCGGAGTGATGAGCTGCTGTGGGCGGGGTGAGCAGCAAAAAGGTGTTTTAGACTTCACTGAGAAACTCTGAAAACTGAGATATTCTGTCATTGACTCGTTGTTCTAATAGTGGGAAAAAAAACTCTGTCCATCTTGTGCATTAGACTAAGAACTTCTGTTGATTATTGTTTCTAAAATATCTCAATACTACTTTCTGGAGCGCAACAGCCATTTTTACCATTCAGGTACAGTAAATTTCATTTCAGGAGCTTCACCTTCAATTCACCTTAAATCTTTGTTAGTTTTACATTTGTAGACTGTAGGTCTCTTCAAATGCATGAATCACTAGACAGACTCACTGGAGTACATGTGCTCTCTGAGGGTTGGTGCAGTGTTGGCCCAGCTCCACTGGGAGGCGCCAGAGCAAAAGTAAAGATCCTTAATGGAGCCACTGTGGTTTCTTCTCTGATTGTTCAGGAGTTGTAAAATCAGTTCACTTTCCAAATAATTTCACTTTTTACTTAATTTGCAATCAATGATTTTTCCAATACATAATTGCAAACTACACATTATATTTTGTATTCCCTGGGGGCCAAAAATAGCAATGTGACACATCATGAAAATACCAACATGCAGTGTGGATGAATACAAACATATATGTTAATAATTTCACAATTTATTGGTTGATTTCTATATTTTACTGGTTATTTTACTTTGTTTTTGTCCACACATTTCCATGGAGATCAATTCTTCAGTGTTATCGAATGACATTGACTCCTGAATCAACTTTGTGTGTTCTACGTTTTGTTGCTGTTTGTTTTATTTGCTGCTTTAAGATAAAATGAAAATAACAATATCTATGTAATATCTTTTTTTTTTTAGTTGCTTTTCTTTTTTAATAAAATCACAGAATTGATGGAAATCATCAAATATACTCTGGGGGTCTATAAGATCCATGTCCAGGACTTTTCTCTTGCTGACTTGTGTCTTATTATGAGAGAAACACCTTATTGCTGGCGTATGGAGATATTCTGTGGCTGAATACAGTTAGTTTGAATTTTAATTAGAAGGAAATACCTTTCATACTCAAACAAACACTCTGGGAGTCTCAGCCTCTTACCTTCTGTCAGTTAAAGACATTCTTTCTCTCTGACGTCACAGGTCTTAAATGGTCTTAAATCTCAGCCTGGGATTTATTTCACTGTTTTGCTTTCTTGCCTGAGAAGACAACAACTCCTGTCAATAAATATAAGTCCTAATAACAGATGCTAAATTACGTGGGCATGTGCATGGAGCTACAAATTACATGTGAATTTTAAGAGGAAAATACTTTTGTCAGACACATTAAAGTTGTACTTGCTCATTAGTTGAGGGAGTTGATGTCCTCTCTTATTTCAGGAATGATGTTATTCAAGCACAGCGTTGTTTTGAACATCCATCAAGGGTTACCTAGGGTTAAGGTCACAGGTGTGTGTGTGTGTGTGTGTGTGTGTGTGTGTGTTTATGCATTACTCCCCTTTCCTCCTCTTGGAAGCTGTTAAAGCGTTACTGGACAGTGGGAGCTAGCGCTGGCGTGCATCAGAGGTGGAGGTGTGTTTGCTGTTTCACGTCATCATGACGTCAGAGGTGAAGTTCAAGTTGTTGTGGAGTTGTTGGACCCTGACGCGCCACTTCAGCAGGATGCCAGGGCCTGAAAACTGATGAGGCACCGAGCTAAACATCTGCACCGGAACTGAAAGATGTTTAGCTAATTGTTGTTTTTTCTGTCTCAAAGTTCAAACTGAGCACATCTTTTGATCAATACCACTGACTCAATGTTTGCTGTATTCTCCATCTCCTGACACTGCAGGCTTTCAAAACTCGCTCTCTGATCTGCTCACTGTGGCAAATACATGAGGCTGCGTTGCTTCTAAAGCAATAGTTGGACATTTTCGGGGAAATGCTTATTTGTTCTCTTGCCAAGGGTCAGATGAGAGGATCGATGCCACTATCACGTCTGAAGAATATGAGGCTACAACCAGCAGCTGGGTTGCTTTGCTTAGCATAAAGTAGCATAGGGGGAAACAGCTAGTGTGGCTCTTTCCAAAGGCGACACAATCCACCTCCCAGCACTTCTAAATCTCACTATTCAAAAAAAAAAAAATCTTTTTTGGGGGGTGGGGCGTTTAATGCCTTTATTTGACAGGACAGTGAAGAGCGACAGGAAACAGAGGGACACAGAGAGGGGGAATGACATGCAGCAAAGAGTCTGGCTGGCCGGGAGTCAGACCAGGCCTCACTGCGTCCCAAGCAGTTGGCTATCAGCTCGCTCCATGAAGCTCACTATTTTACACATTATATTTTTGCTTGTGTGTAAAAGTGTAAAGAAACTTGAGGTTTTACAGAGAGGTATGTACCAGGCTGTCTCTTGACCGGGTGCAGGGACTTCCTGGAGTCTTGTGCCGATTGTGATGTTGCCAAGCAAAACTCCAGGAAGTCACTGCACTTATCTGGAAAAGATATAAAATTAATGAAATCTGTTTTCAGAATAAAAGAGCTTTTGTCTCTTCAGCATCAAGTTGAAGTTTGAGTTTCTGCCACAGCCGTATGCACACATGATTGTTGCTCATATATATAATATGGTTTGGTAGTCATGTTTTTTTTTATAATTGAATCCATATGCTTTTCAGATTCTCACGTGTGACATGGCTGCTGTAATTCTACAATTTCCCTTTGAGCTTAATAAAGTGCTCCATCTATGTGATGATTCAATGTTATCATATGCACCCCACGCAGTCAGACATGTGCACTGCCGTGCCTGTAAGCACACGCAACAGTGACATCACGTTGTGTGGAAAACACCCTGAGAATAATGGAGAATTTAGATGTTAAAAAATCGACATCAATTCAAAAATGAAAGAGAGAGAAAAGAATCTGATGAAACTCTGGAAACTTTGTACTTAGAACTTGTGCAGCTGATGATGATAACATGACATTTGTATCTTACACAATTAGCGTTAACGCCATATTTTAGGACTTACTCTCGTTGAAATGGGGCACCAGTCCTCTGGGAGGACAACAATGAATTACTTCATTGCCAAATTTATCAATCTCATATCAGAAGCCATGACTTCTCGATTCAATGGATCTCCAGTCTCTACGTCAAAAGAATACAACAGGACAACAACTGGGTGTAAATAAAGGAGTTTATTTAACTAAACTACTATCTACAGAGTGAATGCAAGGTGTAATAATCATAAAGATGAAAATAATAAGGAAATGAGCAGTGTGATGAGTTGGCAATGGTGGGAGAGAATATGTTATGGCTATACACTATACAGCTAATGATGCTACATCTACGAATTAGGTTTGATGATTAAATATTGCTATATTTCGACATCAACCCAGTCATGAGCAGAGTGTTAAAACCGGCCTACTGTGAGTTGCGCTGTAGCTGAAGACCTTCGGCTGGAACCCAGGTGGCTGTGGTTGCCGTGGTAACCCTGGAGACGCGGGATCTAGGTGGATTCTCCTGGAGGCCGTTCTGCTCGGCTTCTCTGCAGGCGGTCGTGCAGAGGTGATATCTGCTGGTGTCTCTTGCGGGTTGATGCGAAATAAACTCTAATGCTCTTCACTTTGGCTGGATAACTTTAGAGGAGACTGGTGTTGACCAGATGACTCTAAAGTTGTCAAAATCTTCAAAAAGGAAAACTTGATGATTAAAAGTTTAAATTAATTAATTAAAAATAAAAGATCGCGCATGTAGACAAAAATCATGTTACTTGTAGCTTGTGGCAAAGAAAATTAAAGACGCGAAAAGTGCAAAAATGACTAAGAGCCATGAGTTTGTGGCGAGCAGCTTAGAGCTAAGAGTTCACATGGCTACAGAGCCGGGCTTTGAGCCGGGACTCTGAGCTTTGAGCAAAGATCTCAGCTTCTAGTTTCTGCATCGTTTCTCGCTCCTCGCATCTTCTTGTCATCTGGGTTTCTCTGACTTTTCTTTACTGACATCTGACCGGTTTAGGCTTTTGCATTGGCTTAGGCATTGGCTTTGGCCTTTTTTGGCTTTTGGCTTTTGGCAATGTGTGAATTGTTCACGACTGTTTTATCCCCTGGGGGGCTGGCGCATGTTTCATGGGCACCACATATCATCTCCTGTGTTTCCACTTGGAGAAGAGAGTAATTTTCCACTGAACTTTAGAATAATTTAATCTAAGTTTACTTATAAACTCGCACATCCATCTTCCACCATGACCACAAAAACATTAAGTGAAATAACATATAAAACTATTGCGCTAATAATGGCAGAGAGGGAGTAATAGGAGTGTTGATTTCATATTACTTCCTTCAAACCTGAATTAATCATGATACAAGTGGTTAACTGATCAAACAATAATATAAACATTTCCAAAGCTAATAGTCTATACATGTGGATTACACAGCAGTTCTTTGACTGTAATAATAATAATATGGACATGCTGGATGTCATGTAGTGTGTGTACCTCAGGTGAAGGATGCTGACAGTATGGTCTCATGAAGGACATTGTCTTAAAATCTACATGTTACATTTCAAACATTCTATGGGATAGAAGTTTGGGGTTAAACTATTACATAGGAACATCTCATGAGTTAGACAGTTGACAGTTAGATATTTAATTTTACATTCTTCCTCAGATCTGTGTCTGTGAAGAGAGTTCTGCTGGTCACTACCCAGGACTGGGATGTGGGTTGTAGTTTATGACTCTTATCTAGAGAGGGCAGAGGAAGGGAGGTTGGTGTGTGTGTTCAGGCATTGGCACAGACAGGCCAGGATTCACACCTTAGTGTTAATCAGTCCTTTTGTTGTTACTTGTCCTATACAGGAAACAATCAAATATCATTAGACAAAGTCTTATTGTTACAAACTGGAGATTTTGCCTATATTCTCCAGTTGCCTGGTGTCCATTGGTTGATCCTCTGGAGCTGACCCTTTGACCTTTGGTCTGGTTCTGTGTCGTTCCGACATGCTAAAAGCATGGTCTGTTTGTGGAAGAGGGGTCCTTTGTCTCTGTTTCCTATCAATTTGATAGTTTGATGGTGGGAAGAGTCGCAAAGTGTCAATCGTGGGTCCGTAACTCTGCATGTCCTTAATGGCTTGTGACTGATGCCAGGCCATCAGTGATGTACGCTACACACATCACCGTAGAGACCAGCAGAGAGTGAAGTCACCCAGGTCTTGTGTTAAGCAGGGCCTCACCCTGTGAGGAGACTATGTGAAAGACTGCACGTACGCTGATCACAGCTGGCTGACGGGGCTGGAGGAGCAGACGCTGTGTGTGTGTGTGTGTGTGGAGCGTGGTGTGCAGTCACGTTCACTTTTGCTTTATGGAGACTGCAGATCGTGTGACATCACTGCCCCTCTGATGGGTTTTCCACAGATTAGTTTCCCCTGCTCTGCCAAAAAGTAACTTAACTTTGGAGTTTAGAGACATCACATGATTTACATCTTCAGTAGGTAACTAAGTAATTACTTTGCATTTGATGTATTATTGATCAATAAAGTCTTGTGACTGTGTCCTAATTGTTATAAATTTGCATAGCTCCTGAGAACATCGTGAACTTTCAACCAAATTTGGAGGACATGTGCACATATATGTGGACAGCCAGTAAAAGTGGCCCCACAGTAACATGTAAATGTAAATGGTAATTACATTGATACTTTAGCATCAGTTACCCTTGTACTTTAATAGAGTCTAACATGATTTGCATTTTTTTTTTAACTCAGCTTTCAGTATCAGACACACAAGCACACAATGTATGCATGTGCAAGTGGCAATCTTAGAAAATGTTTTAATTGATGGAATGTGATGCTGCAATTAACCCGTGAATTATGTTCACTCATAACAAAATGTGCTCTTGAAGCTGCAACAGCTGCCGACAGTTGCACTGCATTTTCTATCAGAAACACTGATTTTCGTAGATGTTTTTGGTCTTTTCATGGGAGTTGTTGACAATAAAAAAAATAATAGAAATATTTTTCTTGACAATGATGGTCTTTGAGGGAACAGAGAGCCGGACAGTCCAAAATGGAGGAAGCTAACATAGCTTGCTAGCTATGTTGTGCCACTTACATTCATGTAACCTCTATGGTACAAGTACGTCTTTTGAATAGTATCTGAACTCATTGTCCCATTAGTTTCCCTATTCATTAACTTTTTATGGAACAAAGTGTTGAGTAATGATGATCAAACA